TTTCCCTCTCCCTCCTTTTTCGTTTCTCTCTATCGCTTCGTATGCATATACGCTTCTCGAGAACAACATTGTGCGTTCTTCATATATTTTTGGAGTCACCTCGAAAATTTTCCTGCTATTCTCCTCCCTTTTGTCGCCTCCTTCTCTCTCTTCCCGTCTTTTTCTCCCTCTTCTTCTTTCTTCTCTTCTTCTTCAAATTTTTGCTCGGTTTCTCCCGCGCTATTTATACCGCGGCTCTCAGTTATTGAAATCTTGTCTCTATCTCCCTTTCCGTTATGTTATGTTATATCCATAAATTACGAATCAGAGAGAAATACCTTGGTGAATTTACATGTTATTGCACCTAACCGGAGAAATCGAATAAACGCTTTTCTGTCTTTGTGTATCTATCGTAAATTATTATAAGACACTATCGCTTTTTTATTCATAACATCAAAACGCTTATCTATATCTATCCATATACTTTTTCCTCTTCCCTGACCTCTCAATTAAAGACCATCTCATATAATTTTTAAGAATTTTTATCAGAATATTTCGTATAATATAAAATATCGTATTAAGCCATTATTTGATACGTGTGATCGCTTATACTCTGCTGCCGGACTCGGAGAAGGTATCGCTTCACAGAACGCTAAATATTTCTCCGTCTCTCTTTTTTTTTTCTTCCTCTCGTCTCATCGTTCCAAACCAGAAAACCTCGAATAGAGCCCCAAGAATCGTTCAACCGCGCGGGGTCTCCACGGAACTGCAACGCACAACGCGAGAGGAGGATGCAGGCGAGAAGAGGACAGGAACGGTGGACGGTAGAGAAAGAGAGAACGAGAAAGAGAGAGAGAGAGAGAGAGAGAGAATTGATGCGACGTTGGGGGAAGGGTGACGACGGGGAAAGGGGAAGGGGGTGGGGTGTACGAGGGGGCCGGAGAACGAGTTCCGATTTTAGCGCAGTCGCGGCGGCCTCAGAACGAGCGGCGCTATTATGCACTAGTAGCTTGATGGCGTCACCCGTGCAACCTTGGCTCGGGTCAGTCCTCTATCATACTGCAGGCAGAGTTCCCCCGATTCCCTCCCCCCGTCTCCCTCCTTCTACGTCTCGTTCTCCCGTGCTCCGCTCGACTCCGCTTTAACCCTCTCTCTCTCTTGTGTGCTGGTCGTCTCTTTATCTCGGCCCGTCTCCTCTTCCTCCCAGACCCAGTGGCGTAAGGGAAACGTTTCTCCTGCCTCGCAGCAGCTTCGAAACTTTTGCTCTCCTGCAGCATAATACAAATGTGCGTCAAATAATACGAATGTGAGAGAATTTTTTTTCCTATTTTTTTTCTTTTTTTTTTCTTATGGGAGAATCACGCGAGACGAGACACTGGTATGCGCGTGTCTCATCCAACGGTATAAAAGAATGCGAGATTTTATCCCGCAGCGGTTTGGAAACTTTCCTTTTTCGCAGCGCGCACAATGTAGTGCAATGTTGTTTGTATATATAATACATGCACGCATGCACGTCAAAAGTTGGGAATTCTTTTTTATCTATAAAAATCACACGCAGAATTTACGCATTCGAGTGACGTAAAAGATGCGAGATTTATTCAGAGGTACTTTATCTTCGAAGCTTTTGCTCTCTGCCAATATCTCAGCGCGATATCTTTTCACGGATGTTCATTGTTTGCTCTACAAAATCCACAGTCTTTACGCAATAAAATCAGTCGCGCTTTCCGCATCGTAAGAAATATAACATTTATAACAAAGTAGCTTACAAAACAGTTTTATTTGCTTGCATTAAATGCCCGATCGTTCTTCAACGCACGTGTGTGTGTGTGATGCAAAGAAAATATATTACTTCAAAACTTTCGTCATTTCCCGTCTAATGCCCCCTTCCTCCTTAAATATTCAAGATATTTTCCAGTGATGCACAAATTTCAGAAACTTTAACTTTTTTTTTCTACGCTAATCTCTCGAAATATTAAATTTATTTTTTTAAGGAAAACAAATATATCATATTTCGAATAATAATAATTTTCATAAGTGGATTCAAATAATAAAATTATTTAGACAACAAAAACAATGTCAAAGCTTTAATAAAATAAAACTATTTAGCCTCGCACGCGCACAACTTTTATATATAAAAGATGCTTTTATTTATTAAATTTCCAAAAGAATAAGTTACCGAGATCCGATTATATTCCTTGGGAGAGAGAAATTGCGTTTCGGCGCGAGATTCGCGAGAGTTCCTCAGAGAGGAGGAACGCGCGTTGTCCGAGGCCGTTCTCCCTACGCCCATGAGAGAACGCACGGCCCTATGCTCGCGGCATAAACTCAGATCGTGTGCATTCGTGTCCGTATACGATCGTACCGGCGTGCGATCGATGTTACGCGCCGATCTACTCTCTACCAAGTCGCACATGTCGCGTACAAACGGCGTTTCCGTCGCGCGAATTTTCACCGCCTCGGTAACTCGTCGTCCCTTTCGCCTTTTCGAACGCTCGTCGGAAAGAGAATCTCTCTTAACGCTAGCGGAGACGAGTGATTTGGATGATTTTGGCTGGGAACAAATGCGAGAAACAAATTGGCGATATCGAAAGAGAGTATCGGACTTGTTGATCGAACCGGGTGATTGAAAGGAGGCATCGATGACAACGATTTCCCTCTTTCGCCTCGTCAACGACGAAGCTATTAATAATCTCATTGCACGCTTCATTCAACTGCGATGTACATACTTAAGCCGCGCGATGTGAAAATCTAACTCGATAAACGCCGACTCCGACCCTCCGCCGCGAATCGAGATATAATAGCGTTACTTTGCGTTGAGGATTTATTCGATGCGTGATTCAAGCGTGCCTCTCGAAGGGTTCCTCTTCGCAAAGTCGACTTTGTTTCATACGACGATGCAAAATTATTTCTACGTGGTTGCAAGAATATTGATCCTTTCGTATAAATGAACGCGATAAAGTATAGGTTCCGCGTTACTGTTGTAGAGTAATTAAATACCTGTTACAAGATATCAAGCAGTTTGATACGCTAAGCCTATAATTAAGCACCTATGCAAAAGATTACAGACGAATATAAACTATCTAGATGTAGATAAAACTTACACGTATAAATAACAATATAGAGACTTTTTTTTTTTTAATCGCAGACGCATTTTTTCTTTTCCAGTGTCCGAGAGCTACAACAATTACGTGAACTCCATGTATGGCGGGGGCGGTCAATTCGCGACCCCCTGTACCCCGAGCCCACCGCGGGGACCCGGTGGAGTGCCCACGAGTGTGATCCAGGCGGCCACCAGCTCGGTCTCGGACGATCTCTACCTTCTCGAGCTAGGCTTCCCGCCGCGCTCGAAGAAAAGTAAGCTAAAGAAGCCGCGCCAGGGCGAGGGCGGCGGCGCCGCGGTGAAGCGGAAGTCGCGCGAGGGTTCGACCACGTACCTGTGGGAGTTTCTGCTCAAGCTGCTGCAGGACCGGGAATACTGTCCGCGCTACATCAAGTGGACGAATCGCGAGCGGGGCGTCTTCAAGCTGGTCGACAGCAAGGCGGTCTCGCGTCTCTGGGGCCTGCACAAAAACAAGCCGGATATGAATTACGAGACGATGGGTAGGGCTCTGCGCTACTACTATCAACGCGGTATTCTCGCGAAAGTGGACGGCCAACGGTTGGTCTATCAGTTCGTCGAGGTGCCGAAGGACATCGTCGAGATCGATTGTACAGGCGCATGAGACAGGGTGCCGGCCCGTCCCGCGGGGGACGAGGAGAAGGAGCTGTTGCTGCGGCGGCAACGCGGCGCCGGCATCTCGACGCGGGCTCGACGTCGACCGCCGTTATCGTCGTCGCTGCTTATGTTGCGGCGTCGCGGGCCCGTCGCGGGATTTCATCCGCGCGAGAGAACGCCGTCCAACGATTCTTCCCGCCGAGACGCGCCGACCTGGCACACCCCTCAGACCTTGTAAAATCTTCTCTATTTTTTTTTTTTTTTTTCTACACATGTACATCTCTTTCTCCCTCTATATTTCTCTCTTTCATTCTGGCTTCGTTTATTCCTTGTATTATACCTATGTAAATGTATATTAAGGCGCCGGATGACGCGACGTCGTCGGAGGTGGTCCCGACCCAGTACCTCGTCCTCCTCCTGCGGTCCGTTTCTTTCCCGTGTGTCCGAATATCGCGTAGGATCGAGACCGGATCGGCATCGTGTGATTGGCGGCGCCCGAATCGTTGAAATTTGTACAAAATTTAGTTCTTAACGCGTCGAGAAGAGGAAACTAAAGATTTTATCTCGGGGTGTACCTTTTGCGGAAGGACACCGTGGACAAATTACTTAAGCGTGAGGTATCGGAAAAAGAAAATTGTACATTCGAAAAATATATATAAATTATTTATTGTATATTAGACGTTTATATATGTGTGTTACCTAAGGAAATTGTTATGCGCGTTATATCCATGCAAATGGTAAACGTACGAAAACGGAGGAAAGTTTAGAGAAACAAAAAACAAAAATGTAACGAAATGAGGGCTGTGAAAGGATTATGGTATCGAGAGGAGAGGAAAAGAGACGAGATGTGAGCACGGCGAAAGAATGAGAGACAACGTCTCTCAAAGTTTCACGAAGCGAGCTCAGGGAGGGATACACATTATATTTTTTTAAGTATAAGCGGAAGGGATTGGCCCTTTCAATTCGTGAGCCGACGAGTTCAACAACGCAAGGTGCTGGCTAATATACATACACACATACACATACACACACACCGAGGTCCAAGAATATTATTTAGCAACCTAGTGTTACTGATTCGTATAAAGATTATCGAGACAGACATTATATTATATCTCTGTGTATATAGATATAAAAAATTTACATTTAGTAGTAAAAATGGAGCAACGTTGATGTGTCTCTATGAGATTTGTCGTCACACCCGGCGACACGCGTAGGGAGCTTAACCGTCTCGTGCGCCCGCGACGTCTCTCCTTCGAAACTATTGTTCTACTCTTTACTGTTTCCCCCTGTGTTATGTACGGGGATGAATTTTATACATCTAAGAACGCGTCTGCCGATCGCGTTCGGCCCCTTTTTTTAGTCGCAGTCGTCGCAACGCACATACATTGCTCTGGTCTCACATGCTCAGACTGATCGGAGACGTCGCACGCACAACAGAGAAAAAGCCCACCCGGGGCGCATAATAATAAAACGCGTAACCCTAGAGTAAAATTTAACTTATTGGCGCCTCGGGACGCGTGACGCGCGCGAATGCAAGTGTATCCTACGTAGCTCTAAGTTTTTTGTACATAAAAAGGAATCGTCGCGAAGAAATATATATGTTTAAGAAAGAATGTACGTTGTCGGTTATCCTCGCGAGAATTATCCGCGGGAGAAAGAGAATGATGTAAGGTGAAGGAAAAGGAAACGAGGAGTTGTATAGATCACGCGCGATGTTAAAACGTAACTGCGACGCGTGCACACAGGCCGATTTTGCATTACAGCCTCGGGATATTCCGATGAAACGAAAAAAAAAAAATATACAGTACATATTTGAACAGTGATCCAGTGCTGCCAATAATGCCTGTAAACGGTCCCTTCGGCATTTATCGCTCGAGTCGGAATCTTTTCGACTCGAGTGCGCGGTGCTAGTTAGATCGATCAACGTTTCGGGGGACACCAGACATACCGATGATACAAAGCAAATTGCCTTCTCGTATTAACAAAGACGTGTTGCCTTCTAACAAAAAAAAAAAAGATGCATATAAAAGTTCTAGCGATTTGTATCGTAAATACCGTCACTTTGTCCAGGTACTTAAAGCTCTTTACATATATACCTAGCATCGTTTTGTGAAGAATTAAATTTTGTAATTTTATCAGAGTTCTTTGGGGTACGTGACGACTTTTATCGTACTTTGAATATAATGTATTGGCGGGAAATAGTAATAACATTAATAATATTATTAATATAATAATAAAATAATGATATAATGATAAAAGAACAAGATATATCAGAGAGTACAATGGACAAAAAAAGTACCTATAGTATACCACTTCTATACATGATAACAGACACTTATAAACAATGAATGGACACTACAACAGAAATCCTATTTTTAGGTAAATTAAATTTATATATATACATAATGATCCACACTCTACACACTCTCTACGAGATATTTTAACAAATAAGACTTTACTGTAATAGAGAGATAAATACATAATTATTTACCTGTAAAATATATGAAAACACGATGGATTGACGTAAGGAACTCTAATGTAACGTTCTGTGATTCGTTGTTTGTAGGTGAAATTTAATAAAAGATTATTGTATCATAATATATATATACATATACATATATTTGTGCCGTTTTATTTATTTCCTATAGCGGAAAGTATTTCTGAATTTTCTAATTTTTAACCGATTAAGTTTTTGACTTTTGCATAAGCAATTTTGTTCATGTTATTAGTATACGCAACAATATTTTGTAGGATTACAGATAAAATGCTTTTTTTCTTGCATATTAATATGCATATATCTCAGAAATATAGTGAGTACAATATTTAAACCCTTAAAACAATTACATTTAATTGATACTGTTTAAAGTTTAAATTCTTAAAATAACTTTATATTTAATTTATACCAGGAAAAGTTACGTTATAAAAGATTAATCGTCAAATTTTGTTCTACGCATTGATAAAGAGTCTTTATTAAAGAATAAACAATTATGTGAATAAAATATGAAGTTTTATTCTCAATAACTCTAATATATATATTGAAAATTATTTTTGCATGATTGATAAATTCGTCTAAGTTTTCTCTAAAAAAGATTCAGTCATAAGCAACCTAAAAAATTTTACTAAAATAAATATTGTTTTTATATAATATATTCTTCATATAAATATAGTTCTGCTCAAGAGTTTCATTTCATAATTAATTTCTATTCGACATTCAATAATACAGATATCGTGGATTGCTACCGTCGATAAGTAAGTTACCGTTGTCGATTCAAATAAAATATGGCGATAAAAATAAATTATAATTATTATATAAATCGGGAGGAAAATAGATAAAATACCATCAAAGATTCGCAATCGTATAAGATTAGCAATTGTATCGCTTGTCATTTATGTAATATTGAAGATCGACACACATTACAACAAGTGATACAAAATAATGCATGCATGTATTCATATTGAATCTGCAACGACACGTAAAGACAAATATGTTTATATATATTTATGGAATATTTTAGCGTATCGTTGTTATATACAATATGAATGCACACTAAATACAAAATTCAACTACTCAACTTTTGTTTCCCGATACAAGTTTTACAAGAGTAGTATAGGAAAAATGTTAGAAAGATCGCGTATAATCTCGGCAGAGAGTTCTTTAACCACATTTTTTCACGATTGCTTTCATTTCTCTTTTTCTCTTTAAGCTGTTAACACATGTGCTCCCTAATCTTAAATATAAAATATACGTCAAAATATCAAATCTAATATACAATATAGATTATAATTACATACCTCGTAATGTGACGCACAAGTTATATATAGCCGGATCGATTGTATCATCGCCACTATTGGCGCGGAATTTGACTGATCGTTCATTCGGCGCCGTCCGAATGCTTCCGACTTCGTACGAGAACGCACGAAGTTTAGAATCCGGTGGAATCGTCGTGTCGTGGATCGTGGAACGTCAATCGTGGTGAACGAAGTGGAACGAGTTCGCAGGTGAATTGTACGGATCTTTCGACTGCCGTTTTTTTTCGCATTATCAAAGAAACGATTTACCATCGCGCGTACATTCGACAATCTGCCAGTGCCTGCGCGAAACGTTAATTATCGATCCCGACGACGGAATTGATTCTGCCACACCCCACAGTGGCCATCTTGTACCCGAGTAGTCGGTGGACTACTTCAGCTAGCCATGGACCAGATCACGCCTAAAGAGGTGAAGATTCTTGAGAATCCGGAGGACATTCAGGAGAGACGAGAGCAAGTACTGGGACGATATGCCAACTTCAAGTCGGAGGCGCGCAACAAGCGGGACAAGCTCGAGGACTCCCGTCGCTTTCAAGTACGTCCCTCCCATTTAATTTCCAATGATTGACATATAATTTTCTGACGTTTGGCACCTTATGTTCCGATACTTATCTTCGCGTTCGATTTTCAGTATTTTAAGCGAGATGCGGATGAACTCGAGGGATGGATTTACGAGAAACTCCAGGCGGCATCGGACGAGAGTTACAAAGATCCGACTAATCTACAGGCAAAGATTCAGAAGCACCAGGCTTTTGAAGCGGAAGTCGCCGCTCATTCAAATGCCATCGTGCTGCTCGACAATACCGGCTCTGAAATGATAGCGCAACATCATTTTGCCAGCGATGTAATTCGCAAGTTCTCTATTTTTTTTTTTTTTTTTCTACACATGTACATCTCTTTCTCCCTCTATATTTCTCTCTTTCATTCTGGCTTCGTTTATTCCTTGTATTATACCTATGTAAATGTATATTAAGGCGCCGGATGACGCGACGTCGTCGGAGGTGGTCCCGACCCAGTACCTCGTCCTCCTCCTGCGGTCCGTTTCTTTCCCGTGTGTCCGAATATCGCGTAGGATCGAGACCGGATCGGCATCGTGTGATTGGCGGCGCCCGAATCGTTGAAATTTGTACAAAATTTAGTTCTTAACGCGTCGAGAAGAGGAAACTAAAGATTTTATCTCGGGGTGTACCTTTTGCGGAAGGACACCGTGGACAAATTACTTAAGCGTGAGGTATCGGAAAAAGAAAATTGTACATTCGAAAAATATATATAAATTATTTATTGTATATTAGACGTTTATATATGTGTGTTACCTAAGGAAATTGTTATGCGCGTTATATCCATGCAAATGGTAAACGTACGAAAACGGAGGAAAGTTTAGAGAAACAAAAAACAAAAATGTAACGAAATGAGGGCTGTGAAAGGATTATGGTATCGAGAGGAGAGGAAAAGAGACGAGATGTGAGCACGGCGAAAGAATGAGAGACAACGTCTCTCAAAGTTTCACGAAGCGAGCTCAGGGAGGGATACACATTATATTTTTTTAAGTATAAGCGGAAGGGATTGGCCCTTTCAATTCGTGAGCCGACGAGTTCAACAACGCAAGGTGCTGGCTAATATACATACACACATACACATACACACACACCGAGGTCCAAGAATATTATTTAGCAACCTAGTGTTACTGATTCGTATAAAGATTATCGAGACAGACATTATATTATATCTCTGTGTATATAGATATAAAAAATTTACATTTAGTAAAAAAAAATTATATATATTATATTGAATATATTATATATATTATATAAATATATATATTATATGTTATGTAGTAAAAATGGAGCAACGTTGATGTGTCTCTATGAGATTTGTCGTCACACCCGGCGACACGCGTAGGGAGCTTAACCGTCTCGTGCGCCCGCGACGTCTCTCCTTCGAAACTATTGTTCTACTCTTTACTGTTTCCCCCTGTGTTATGTACGGGGATGAATTTTATACATCTAAGAACGCGTCTGCCGATCGCGTTCGGCCCCTTTTTTTAGTCGCAGTCGTCGCAACGCACATACATTGCTCTGGTCTCACATGCTCAGACTGATCGGAGACGTCGCACGCACAACAGAGAAAAAGCCCACCCGGGGCGCATAATAATAAAACGCGTAACCCTAGAGTAAAATTTAACTTATTGGCGCCTCGGGACGCGTGACGCGCGCGAATGCAAGTGTATCCTACGTAGCTCTAAGTTTTTTGTACATAAAAAGGAATCGTCGCGAAGAAATATATATGTTTAAGAAAGAATGTACGTTGTCGGTTATCCTCGCGAGAATTATCCGCGGGAGAAAGAGAATGATGTAAGGTGAAGGAAAAGGAAACGAGGAGTTGTATAGATCACGCGCGATGTTAAAACGTAACTGCGACGCGTGCACACAGGCCGATTTTGCATTACAGCCTCGGGATATTCCGATGAAACGAAAAAAAAATATACAGTACATATTTGAACAGTGATCCAGTGCTGCCAATAATGCCTGTAAACGGTCCCTTCGGCATTTATCGCTCGAGTCGGAATCTTTTCGACTCGAGTGCGCGGTGCTAGTTAGATCGATCAACGTTTCGGGGGACACCAGACATACCGATGATACAAAGCAAATTGCCTTCTCGTATTAACAAAGACGTGTTGCCTTCTAACAAAAAAAAAAAAGATGCATATAAAAGTTCTAGCGATTTGTATCGTAAATACCGTCACTTTGTCCAGGTACTTAAAGCTCTTTACATATATACCTAGCATCGTTTTGTGAAGAATTAAATTTTGTAATTTTATCAGAGTTCTTTGGGGTACGTGACGACTTTTATCGTACTTTGAATATAATGTATTGGCGGGAAATAGTAATAACATTAATAATATTATTAATATAATAATAAAATAATGATATAATGATAAAAGAACAAGATATATCAGAGAGTACAATGGACAAAAAAAGTACCTATAGTATACCACTTCTATACATGATAACAGACACTTATAAACAATGAATGGACACTACAACAGAAATCCTATTTTTAGGTAAATTAAATTTATATATATACATAATGATCCACACTCTACACACTCTCTACGAGATATTTTAACAAATAAGACTTTACTGTAATAGAGAGATAAATACATAATTATTTACCTGTAAAATATATGAAAACACGATGGATTGACGTAAGGAACTCTAATGTAACGTTCTGTGATTCGTTGTTTGTAGGTGAAATTTAATAAAAGATTATTGTATCATAATATATATATACATATACATATATTTGTGCCGTTTTATTTATTTCCTATAGCGGAAAGTATTTCTGAATTTTCTAATTTTTAACCGATTAAGTTTTTGACTTTTGCATAAGCAATTTTGTTCATGTTATTAGTATACGCAACAATATTTTGTAGGATTACAGATAAAATGCTTTTTTCTTGCATATTAATATGCATAATATCTCAGAAATATAGTGAGTACAATATTTAAACCCTTAAAACAATTACATTTAATTGATACTGTTTAAAGTTTAAATTCTTAAAATAACTTTATATTTAATTTATACCAGGAAAAGTTACGTTATAAAAGATTAATCGTCAAATTTTGTTCTACGCATTGATAAAGAGTCTTTATTAAAGAATAAACAATTATGTGAATAAAATATGAAGCTTTATTCTCAATAACTCTAATATATATATTGAAAATTACTTTTGCATGATTGATAAATTCGTCTAAGTTTTCTCTAAAAAAGATTCAGTCATAAGCAACCTAAAAAATTTTACTAAAATAAATATTGTTTTTATATAATATATTCTTCATATAAATATAGTTCTGCTCAAGAGTTTCATTTCATAATTAATTTCTATTCGACATTCAATAATACAGATATCGTGGATTGCTACCGTCGATAAGTAAGTTACCGTTGTCGATTCAAATAAAATATGGCGATAAAAATAAATTATAATTATTATATAAATCGGGAGGAAAATAGATAAAATACCATCAAAGGTTCGCAATCGTATAAGATTAGCAATTGTATCGCTTGTCATTTATGTAATATTGAAGATCGACACACATTACAACAAGTGATACAAAATAATGCATGCATGTATTCATATTGAATCTGCAACGACACGTAAAGACAAATATGTTTATATATATTTATGGAATATTTTAGCGTATCGTTGTTATATACAATATGAATGCACACTAAATACAAAATTCAACTACTCAACTTTTGTTTCCCGATACAAGTTTTACAAGAGTAGTATAGGAAAAATGTTAGAAAGATCGCGTATAATCTCGGCAGAGAGTTCTTTAACCACATTTTTTCACGATTGCTTTCATTTCTCTTTTTCTCTTTAAGCTGTTAACACATGTGCTCCCTAATCTTAAATATAAAATATACGTCAAAATATCAAATCTAATATACAATATAGATTATAATTACATACCTCGTAATGTGACGCACAAGTTATATATAGCCGGATCGATTGTATCATCGCCACTATTGGCGCGGAATTTGACTGATCGTTCATTCGGCGCCGTCCGAATGCTTCCGACTTCGTACGAGAACGCACGAAGTTTAGAATCCGGTGGAATCGTCGTGTCGTGGATCGTGGAACGTCAATCGTGGTGAACGAAGTGGAACGAGTTCGCAGGTGAATTGTACGGATCTTTCGACTGCCGTTTTTTTTCGCATTATCAAAGAAACGATTTACCATCGCGCGTACATTCGACAATCTGCCAGTGCCTGCGCGAAACGTTAATTATCGATCCCGACGACGGAATTGATTCTGCCACACCCCACAGTGGCCATCTTGTACCCGAGTAGTCGGTGGACTACTTCAGCTAGCCATGGACCAGATCACGCCTAAAGAGGTGAAGATTCTTGAGAATCCGGAGGACATTCAGGAGAGACGAGAGCAAGTACTGGGACGATATGCCAACTTCAAGTCGGAGGCGCGCAACAAGCGGGACAAGCTCGAGGACTCCCGTCGCTTTCAAGTACGTCCCTCCCATTTAATTTCCAATGATTGACATATAATTTTCTGACGTTTGGCACCTTATGTTCCGATACTTATCTTCGCGTTCGATTTTCAGTATTTTAAGCGAGATGCGGATGAACTCGAGGGATGGATTTACGAGAAACTCCAGGCGGCATCGGACGAGAGTTACAAAGATCCGACTAATCTACAGGCAAAGATTCAGAAGCACCAGGCTTTTGAAGCGGAAGTCGCCGCTCATTCAAATGCCATCGTGCTGCTCGACAATACCGGCTCTGAAATGATAGCGCAACATCATTTTGCCAGCGATGTAATTCGCAAGAGATTAGGTATATTCAATTGCCAGAGATATTAATTTGTTTTATCGATTATTCTAATATATTGCCAAAGTATATTACCAAGTATACTACCAAGTTTTTATTTACATGCAAGAGTATTATGAATTTAATATTAATAACTAGATTTTGAAATTGTTGCAATTATGTTCAAATTATGTTTTGGCATAGTATTTTTAGTCGAAAAAAGTACGTTTTTATTATAAAAGATACTGAATATATGGCAAATTGATTTGTTTGTTGATATATCTAATAATGCAATGTATCTGATTATTTAAAGAGGAACTACATCGTCTATGGGAGTTGCTGTTGTCTCGCTTGGCCGACAAAGGTCTGAAGTTACAGCAGGCCTTGGTTCTCGTACAATTCATTCGTCACTGCGATGAGGTGATGTTTTGGATTCACGACAAGGAAGCTTTTGTAACGACCGATGAATTTGGACACGACTTGGAGCATGTGGAAGTGCTTCAAAGGAAATTTGACGAATTCCAAAAAGACATGGCCAGCCAAGAGTATAGAGTTACAGAGGTGAACGAATTGGCAGACAAATTGCTGTTAGACGGACATCCCGAGCGTGACACCATTCTACGCAGAAAGGAAGAGCTCAACGAATCCTGGCAAAGACTGAAACAATTGGCCACTCTGCGACAGGAGAAGCTCTTCGGGGCTCACGAAATCCAGAGATTCAATCGTGACGCCGATGAAACTATGGCTTGGATTGCTGAGAAGGATGTTGTTCTGTCATCTGATGATTTCGGTCGAGATCTTGCCAGTGTTCAGACGTTACAACGAAAGCACGAAGGTATCGAACGCGATTTGGCTGCTTTAGAAGATAAGGTATATACATTGGGCGCGGAAGCCGATCGTCTCGCCGCCATTCACGAAGCTGACCACTCCAAGCAGATTCAAGCTAAACGCGCCGAGATCTTGCAATCGTGGGAGAGTCTGACCGCAAAAGCGAAAGAACGACGTCTCAAGCTCAACGAATCCTATTATTTACATCGATTCTTAGCCGACTATCGCGACTTGGTATCGTGGATGAATGATATGCGCGCCATCATTTCCGCGGATGAACTAGCTAAAGATGTAGCGGGCGCCGAGGCTTTGGTCGACAGACATCAGGAACACAAGGGAGAAATCGATGCTAGAGCCGATAGCTTCGACGCAACTACATTGGCTGGTAATAAACTGTTGGAGAAAAAGCATTACGCTGCCGAAGAAGTGGCGCGGAAATTGAACTCCCTCGCCGAAGATAAGTCATCTCTCTTGAGTTTATGGGAGAAGAGGCGTATCTTGTACGAACAATGCGTGGATTTACAACTGTTCTATAGAGATACGGAACAGGCGGACGCGTGGATGGCGAAACAGGAAGCATTTCTCGCCAACGAAGATCTAGGAGATTCCCTCGACAGTGTGGAGGCGCTCATTAAGAAACACGAAGACTTTGACAAATCCTTGGCAGCTCAGGAAGAGAAGATCAAAGTGCTTGACGATTTCGCTGGAAAATTAATCGAGGGTGAACATTATGCTGCGGACGATGTGGCGCAACGACGGCAGCTACTTCTGGAAAGAAGAGCCATTCTTCTTGAAAAATCAGCTCAAAGACGCCGTCGTTTAGAAGATGCGTACAAACTACAACAGTTCGAGAGGGATTGCGACGAAACTAAAGGCTGGGTTAACGAGAAGCTTAAATTTGCTACTGATGACAGTTACTTGGATCCAACAAATTTGAACGGTAAGGTTCAGAAACATCAGAATTTCGAGCAGGAATTGAACGCAAATAAGACGCGCATGGAAGAAATGGTGGCTACTGGCCAGGAATTGATCGAAAGCGATCACTATGCCAGCGATCGCATACGCACCCGTACGGACGAGATTGTGACACTATGGGAGAGTTTGGCGCGAGCCACTGAGAAGAAAGGCGCGAAATTGCAGGAGGCTTCCCAGCAGCAACAATTCAACCGAACGGTAGAAGATATTGAGCTGTGGCTCTCGGAAGTAGAAGGACAACTCATGTCGGAAGATTACGGCAAAGATCTGACCAGCGTTCAAAACTTGCAGAAAAAACACGCGCTCCTAGAAGCCGATGTGGGTTCTCACGCCGATAGAATAGAAGGTATCACTCAAGCGGCCGAGCAGTTTGTTAAATCGGGCCACTTTGACGCCGATAACATCAAAGCTAAACAGGATCAATTACAAGCTAGATACAGCGCCTTACAACGTCCCATGAGTCTGAGGAAGCAACGACTTCTGGATTCCCTTCAAGTGCAACAGCTGTTCAGAGATATCGAGGACGAGGAAGCGTGGATTCGCGAGAAGGAACCGGTCGCGGCGTCTACCAATCGCGGTCGCGATTTGATCGGTGTACAAAATCTTCAGAAGAAACATCAAGCTGTTTTGGCCGAGATCAATAATCATGAGCCGAGAGTGGCCGCGGTATGCCAGGCGGGTTCAACGATGTTGCAAGAGGGACACTTCGCCGCCGAAGAGATCAATCAACGATTGGCGGCTTTGGACGAACACTGGGGACAACTGAAAGATAAGGCTCGGCAACGCAAAAATGATCTAGACGATTCGTTGCAGGCGCATCAGTACTTTGCCGATGCGAACGAAGCTGAATCGTGGATGAAGGAGAAACGACCCATAGTGATGAACGGCGATTATGGAAAGGACGAGGATAGCTCCGAGGCTCTTCTAAAGAAGCACGAAGCCTTGGTCAGCGATTTGGAAGCGTTCGCGAGCACCATCGCGGCACTGAGAGATCAAGCTGCGGCGTGCAGACAGCAAGAGACTCCTACAATCGACATCACCGGTAAGGAATGCGTCGTCGCTCTTTATGATTATACCGAGAAGTCTCCTAGGGAAGTATCTATGAAGAAGGGCGACACCCT